CTGGGAAGCTTTCCCGGAGATCAGGAGGAGTGGCACCCTTCTGGGAGTGGCACCTTGACCCATGTGTGCTCAGCTTCCTCAGAGCCCTCATCATCAGCTGGATGCCACTTCCAGAGGGGACACCAGCCAAGAGTGGGGCGGCTGAGAGGGGATTGGCAGCATCTGCGTCCATTAGCCTTGGGCCCCAGCACCTGCCACTCATGCTACAAGGACTGGACAAACATGGTTCTGATCTTGGACAGGAGCAGCTAGAACAGAAAAAGGGCGGGACTGTGGGCGCGGGTGACATTCCAGACATGCAGTCAGCCCAGGTGACTGGCTGCCAGGACCCAGCAGGTGGAAGATAGAGTGGGGGATACTGGGGGCCAGGCCCAGAGAGAGAAGGCAGCCACGTAGGAAAGGTCCCACCCCAGGCAACTTTCTGTCTTTCCTTGAAATTTCTGGGATCAGAGGAGGGCTTGGAAGTGCAGGTTAGTGTGATGGGAGCTGGGGGAGGAATAACATGTCAGACTCAGCGGCAAACAGGCAAACAGTCCTCCAGAACGGGGCCAGGCCTGTGCCGCTGCCCAGGCTGGCCTGTGTGGTGTTCACGTGTCTTTATTTTTAGATAATTTTTAACCCCAGGAATCCTAGAGATAGACAAATGTCTGTCTGTCTGTCTCTCCTTCCTTCCTTCCTTCCTTCTTTCCTTCTTTCCTTCCTTCCTTCCTTCCTTCCTTCCTTCCTTCCTTCCTTCCTTCTTTCCTTCATTCTGTCTTTCTTTCTTTCCTTTTCTTTTCTTTCTTTTTTTTTAGACAGTCTCACTCTGTCGCCCAGGCTGGAGTACAGGGGCGTGATCTCAGATCACTGCAACCCCTGCCTTTCAGGTTCAAGCAATTCTCCTGCCTCAGCCTCCTGACTAGCTAGGATTACAGGCATGTACCACCACGCCCTGCTAATTTTTGTATTTTTAGTAGAGATGGGATTTTACCATTTTGGCCAGGCTGATCCTGAACTCCTGACCTCAAGTGATCTGCCCCCCTCGGCCTCTGTAAGTGCTGGGATTACAGGTGTGAGCCACCTCGCCTGGCAGCCAAATATATTTCTTTCTTTCTTTTTTTTTTTAAAAAACATATATTATTTATGATGTGCAGTCCCTATTCTAAGCACTTGTCCCATTCACTTCATCCTTACTCTATGTCTAGTAAGTACACTACCCCCATCTTCTGGATGAAGAAACTCAAACAGAAAAAAAGTTAAATAATCTGTCCAAGGTCTTGCAGCTGCTAAGTGCCAGAACTAGGATTCAAAGCCAGAGGGTCCAGTGCCAGGACTCTGCTCCCACCTTCTGCTCTGTTCTGCAAAGGAGGAGAGGTATGAAGGCCACGTGGTACGCAGGGACCAAGAATCTGCTGAGTTGCTGGACAGCAAAGGGCAAGGTTGTTTACTTTTTTTTGAGATGGAGTCTCGTTCTGTCGCTAGGCTGGAGCGCAGTGGCGCAATCTTGGCTCACCACAACCTCCACCTCCCGGGTTCCATTCTCCTGCCTCAGCCTCCTGAGTAGCTGGGACTACAGGCATGCACCACCACGCCCAGCTAATTTTTTTTTTTTTCTTAGTAGGGACGGGGTTTCACCGTGTTCGCCAGGATGGTCTCGATCTCCTGACCTCGTGATCCGCCCGCCTCGGCCTCCCAAAGTGCTGGGATTACAGGTGTGAGCCACTGTACCTGGCAGCCAAATATATTTCAATTTTCCTTTTCTCTTTTGAGACAGCCTCTCACTCTGTTGCCCAGGCTTGAGTGCGGTGGTGCAATCATGGCTCACTGCAATGTCCTCTTCCCGGGCTCAAGTGATCCTCCCGCCTCAGCCTCTCTAGTTGCCACAGCACCCAGCCTGTATTTCAGTTTTTTAATAGTAAAGAGGGGCTGGGTGCAGTGGCTCATGCCTGTAATCCCAGCACTTTAGGAGTCCGAAACAGCGGATCACCTGAGGTCAGGAATTCAAGACAGCCTGGCCAACATGGCAAAACCCTGTCTCTAGTGAAGATACAAAATTTAGCCAGACATGGTGGTGCGTGCTTATAATCCCAGCTACTCAGGAGGCTGAGGCAGGGGAATCGCTTGAACCCAGGAGACGGAGGTTGCAGTGAGCCGAGATCGTGCCACTGCACTCCAGCCCGGGTGACAGAGTGAGACCCTGTCTCAAGAAACAAACAAAAAAATAGTGAAGAGGAACGTGAACTGCTTTCGGTACCCGTGTCTTTATTAGAAATGGGAAAACAAAGTTTCCAGTGAGAGGCAGCTGCTTCCCTGGCTCCTCTGGCTGTCACCCCTGCCTGCCTGGAGACGGAGGCAGTCATGGACCCTGTCCTGGGATGGACACGCTTGGCCTTGGCCAGGCCATGGGGCAGGGCCTGAGAGAGTGACAGAGCTGTGTATGGGTCCTGGAGGCTGGCTGGACCCAGCTGCTCCTAAGCTGTTTGGAAGGAATGAGGGAGGTAGGGAGGGGAAGAGGGAGGGGCCAGGTGTGGAGCAGCTGATTGGGAAGGAATTCCAACTGAGGCCGGGACTCACTGACTCACTGGCTACCCCGGCTTGGAGGGAAGGTATCTGATTTGGGAAGAGGGAAGGGGTGAGTGAGTTGGGCTTTGGGCCTCATGCATTGGAGGTGACAGCACAATCCTCAGGCAGGAATAAAGTCCTATGGGGGAGAGTTGTATCTGACCTTGAGGGCAGGGGCTGGCTTCCTGGGTGGTCAGTTGGGGAGTTAGGATGGTCCTTGGTGCAGGACCCGAGGTGCCAAAGAAAGGTGGCCAGGCCTGTGGCAGCCGGCTGGTATGCAGTCTGCAGTTCCTGGCATGTACTCCTGATGGCACAGCACCAAGTGCCGAGTCCTCACTTTGTTGCCAGGTGTCTCTAGGCTCTTCCCCGGGCCTCAGGCACTGTCCCTGGCCTTCTGTCTTAAAGACTACCCGCTTATCTGTCCTGTCTCCGGTGCTTGCCGCATGAAAGCACTTCCTCTGCTGCTCTGCAGCCCTTGGCCCGCGCCTCCTCTCCCTGGCCTTGTGTCATTCCTGGGAGCCAACCTGCTGTGTGTGGCTCCACTTCACAGATGGACAAAGTGAGGCCTGCAGCGGTCATTCAGGCTGCTGTGGCGGGCGGCTCTGGTGCTCCTGGGAAACGCTGGGCTGATGTTTCCTCAGTGTCTAGAACCAGGGGCTGGGCCCTGCTCTCCGCACCCACCCACAGCCTTGGCTGGTGCCTCCAGGACAGGCCTGTGTGGAAAGGGACCCTCTGCCCCCTGCAGCTGGTGCAGGGAAGGCCCTTCCTACTAAGTGGAAAACAAAGGGAAGAGGTTGATAGAATCATTTTGTGACTTATAATTGGCTACCTGGTAACTCAGATGAAAAAACCCAAAAACCTTTCATAGAGTAAGTTCAATTTTTAAAAACAGAGGTATTTCAACGTGAACACTTGAGAAGCCAAATGAGGCCCTTGTGTGCTCTGGGGATCCCCTGGCTGCCGTGTGTCACGCCGTGCTTCCTGCTCCACAGGCCGCTGTCCTGAACCTCCTGCAGAACCTCGGGCCCTGCCTGACCTCAGGGCCAGAAGCCAGTTGGCCTAAATGGCCTTGGTTTGCATAATAGACTCTCACCCAGGGTGGAGGGGTGACACTGGGGATGGGCAGCTGTCAGTCGCTGGAGGACATCCGTGGTCATTTGCTCTAGAAGTGGCATCCTGTGGCCAGAGGTTGGATTTCTTGGAGCTTCCAACTAGGTTGGCTAAATACTTACCGGAGAGGGAAAAATTCTCCTGGTTAACGTGTGGACTATCTACTGTGTGGACTATCTACCGTGTGGACTGTCTACCGTGTACCATGTGCCAGCACTGTCGTGGGGTGAGCACGCGATCTGTATGATCTCCCACAGTCACGTGAGGCAGTGCTGTCTCAGTGCTGTCGTTCTGCCCATTGTACAGATGAGCACATGGAGGAATGAGGGTTCTGACAGCTTGCCCAGGTTACTCAGTGAGTAAGAGCCAGAGCCAGGAATGCTTTCGGGGGAGGGACTTGCTCAGCCTTGGAGCCGCTAGAGGAGCGGGGAAGAGATGCAGACCTGGGGAGACGCTGCTCCTGGGGCCCCCACACTGGCCAACAGGGCCGGGCAGGCTGCACAAGCTGCAGGTGGGTGCTGTACCCTGGACCTGTGCCCACTGCCTGCCACTCATCTCCAGGCCTTGGCCTGTGAAGGTGGCTTTCATCAGGCAGGTGCTGTCTGGGAAGATGCCAGGCAACTTGCCCTGGTAGGACTGCCAAGCTGGCTTGTTGGGATTCCAGAGATTTCATGGAGCTCCCACACTGCCAGTTCTCACAACAAGGATGAAGTTGTTCCTCTTTGGGGAAGTGAGGTGGCGTTTTCATTCTTTTGGACCTAGGAGAGCTCCCTGCCCTCAATCCAGGGCCTGACTGCACACTGCCCTCCCGGGACCCGCAGAGGAGCTCAGCGCGCAGCGGGCGGGCGCTCACCTGCTGACAGGGCCTGGGGTCTTGAAGCTGTGACTGATGTCTAGTTCTCAGAACAGCCATGGCTACCTGGTTCCTCTGGGACTCCTGATGGGGGTGGTGGCGGTCCTGGGAATTTGCTTTTCACAGTCTGTGTTGGTCACTGGGAACCCCAAGGGCTGAGTCGCCACCTCCTGCCCTGTGGCTCTGCTTAAAGGTCTTTACCATCAGCCCTTCCCTGCCAGGGCAGGCCGGGGACCTGTGGCTTCAGGGGGAGAAAGTGCCCCTCTGCCCTCCTGCTCTGTCGTGGAAACAGCATCTCAGGGCCCCTTCTGTGGCCTGGCAGATGGCGCCGCACCCTGACGAACACACCACCTAGGAAGAGCCCAGACATGGAGAAGGTTCTCTTTCCTCCAGGAGCCATCGAGCCCTTTGGGGACCTTCTCCCCTCCTTGGATTGTGACAGTTGCATGAATGGCATCCTCTCCAGAGGCCTCATCCTGCTTCTCCTCTGCCCTAGGATCATGCGGCCAGATGACGCCAACGTGGCCGGCAATGTCCATGGGGGGACCATCCTGAAGATGATCGAGGAGGCAGGCGCCATCATCAGCACCCGGCATTGCAACAGCCAGAACGGGGTAAGGGTGTGGGCCCCATACCTCTGGGCCCTGGAGGCCGCACCAGTATGGGTTCAGGACAGGAGTTCCCCGGGGAGCCAGGCCTGCAGCCTTCCCTCCCCTTGTGCACTGGGCCTTGGGAACTTTGGGCCCAAGCAGTTCTGTACCGGACCCTCAGAGCTATGCTTGGTTTTGGCCTCAGCCAGGAGGTGTGGGAACCCACCAGAGATGAAGCGTCAAGCAAGCTGACAGGCCCTCCCTCCACCACTGCCCGCCATGCTGCGTCCCCTGCCAACCTGGCCCTGATCAGAAGCATGCCCTGCCTGCGTGGGGTGGACTTCATTGCAATGGCCAAGAGCTGAGACATAGGGGCCACACAGCAGACGTAGGGGAGGTCCCACCTCTGCCCTGAGCAACCCTGGTGGCCATGGCAAGTGCTGTGGCTCTCTGTGACTTGGCCACTTCCTGGCTTTGAAGCTCACTGGCCTGGTACCACTGTGCCCACGATGGGGGCAGCTCTCCACTTGCCCCAAAATTGTGCAGCTGGGGAGGGCCCTGTGACCCCAAAGCTGGGGACAAGGGGCATGGTCTCTAGTGTCAACCTCAGGGCTGCTGTAGGACATTCAGCCATCCCCAGCTCTGGGGAGGGGACATTTTCTCTGAAGGTCAGCTGTGGGGGAGAAGCCAGCCCTTGGGTACTGAGGACAGAGCGTCTGCCGTGGTGCTGCAGCTGCAGCCTTTGCACTGTGGGGCTCGGTTAGCACACCTGCTGTGGCCTCCAGGGAGGCAGAGAGGAGGAAGACTCAGCCCCAGCTTGGAGAGTGGGAGTGTGAGGTGCAGGTTCCCACCATGGGCACGGGCATGATGCCACTCTATCAAGAGGCCAAGTGGAAGCCACATCAGAGACCAGGGACCAGCGGGGGCGCTGTGAGCTCTGAGCCACGCTGGTGAGATGCAGGAAGTGGCTGCTGGCTCTGTCAGCCTGGGCTGTCGGAACTAAGACCACAGCCTGCTGGCTTGTGAACAGCGGAAATGTATTTCTCACAGCCCTGGAGGCTGGAAGTCCAGGATCAGAGCGCCGGCAGATTCTGTGTCTGTTGAGGGCCCGTTTGTTTCCTGGTTCGTAGACATCACATCACTTCCTGTGTGTCCTCACTTAGCAGGAGGGGCTCTCTTAGGCCCTTTTATAAGGACACTAATTCCATTTGTGAGGGGTCTGTCCCCATGCCCTCATCACCGCCCGAAGGCCCTGCCTCCTACTACCGTTCCCTTGGGGGTTGGGATTTCAACACAGGAATTTTGGGGGGACACAGTCATACAGAGCATGGCACATGCATTCAGCTTGGAACAATGGGCAGTGTGTGTCCAGTGGAGGAGTGGAAGCTGTGTGTGTGTGTGTGCGCGCGTGTGTGTGTGCGTGCGTGTGCATATGTAGAATGAACCAAGCCACGGTAAGTGTGGATGGTTGGATGTGGATGTGGGGGACGTTGCGTGGTACTGGTTAAGGAGTGAGTTTGCTGGCAGCGCCTGGTTTAGGAGGGATGGATGACTGGGCTGAGGCTGGATTGATTCCTTGGACCCGAGGCTCCGGTGCAGCTCAGTCACGTTCAGAGAGCACCCTCTGGTGGCTGTGGGGAGGATGGGCCTGAGCCTGAGAGCCCGGGGCAGGGGTGAGGGCCAAGTCCCAAATTCCTGTTGCACCCTTCCAGAGAGAGACAGTGAGGGTCCCTGGCAGGAGAGGATGGACACGGGGAAGGAAAAGTCCCCAAGATGGGGAGGAGGGGCTTGGAAGGCGAAGAGGGTGATGCTATCACTCATAATCGCAGAATTATTTTGCTGCCATTTGGTCAGCACTTGGCATTCTGCAAAGCTCCAAAATGCTTTAGGAGCTAAAGTTTAGCTCATGGAATCCTCACAACACCCCAGAGAGGTAGCTGTTCTTGTTTTTTTTTAATTTTCTGAGACAGAGTCTCACTCTGTCACCCAGGCTGGAGTGCAATGGTGCGATCCCGGCTCACTCTAACGTCTGCCTCCCAGGTTCAAGTGAATCTCCTGCCTCAGCGTCCGGAGTAGCTGGGATTACAGGCGTGTACCACCACACCCAGCTACTTTTTTTGTATTTTTAGTAGAGACGGGGTTTCGCCATGTTGGCTGGGCTGGTCTCGAACTCCTGACTTCAAGTGATCTGCCCACATCGGCCTCACAAAGTGCTGGGATTACAGGCATGAGCCTCTGCACCCAGCTGCTGTTGTTATTTTTATTATCCCAATTGCATAGATGAGGAAACTGAGGTACAGAGAGATTGAACACTTGCTTGAGGCCACCTGGGGAGGCAGTTGGTAGGTCTGGGCTGTGACTATGCCTTAAACCTGTACTTTGAACACTTGCCCCTCCTTGCTTCTCCGGATCTGGGGCTGCTGGAGGGACAGTTTTGACACATTGGCTTGGAGAAGCCTCTGGGCTGCTGGTCCCCAGGATGGTGATCCAGAAATTCTAGGCTCAGGAAGGGGTCTCTGAGTTCCAGGCAGCCCCAGGGTGTGGGGGTGAGAACAGTCCCGGTGCCTAGAAGGGCTTTGCTAGGGCCCTGGGTGGGGCAGGGGACCCCCCCCATCCACACTTCCCTAGTGGTGCCTTCCAGTCTGTGGCTGGAAGTCCCAAGGTTCTGTCTCTGGCTGAGGCCTCTTGACCAGCCCCATCTGGATGCCTTCTTGGCCTGCTTGGCCTTGATGTGCGAAAAAACGACACTCCTGTCCGTGCCCCGGGCTTGCTTCTTCCAGCCTCCCTCCCCTCGGTAAATGGTCTCTGCAACCCCCAGGTGCTCAGGCTCAGAATCTGGAGCCTCTGTCGGCCTCTCTCCCTCCCACACTCATGAGGCTCTGGGGGCAGATCCCACTGCTTTACCTTCCAGGAAGTCCAGATCTGAGCACAGCCCCCCAGGCCCACCCTCACTTTGGGTCCAGTGGTGCTGCTCTCCTGATCACCCGATCACCTGATCACTGCAGCAGCCTCCTGACAGGTCACCCTGCTGGTCCCTGCCGCCTTGTTCTCCACCAGTAGCCAGGGACGTGTGGAGTCAGAGCACAGTACTGCCTGCTCAGAGCCCTCCAGATCTCCTGTTTTGCCCAGAGTCAAAGGCACGTCCACACGAGTCCCTGTCGCTGCCTAGCGTGGCTCTGGGACTTCGCCTCCTACATGTCTTTCTCAACTCTCCTCTGGCCACATTGGCTTTTCTGCTGCTTCTTGGACTTGCTGGGTGCATTCCTGCCTTGGGCCTTTGCACTGGCTTTCCCTAGATATCTACAGGGCCCTCCCCTCACCTCTTCCAGGCTCTACATAAAAACGTTGTAATCCCAGCACTTTGAGAAGCCAAGATGGACAGATCACTTGAGCTCAGGAGTTTGAGGCCAGCCTGGGCAACATGATGAAACTTTGTCTCTACAAAAACTACAAAAATTAGCCGAGTGTGGTGGCATGTGCCTGTAGTCTCAGCTCCTTGGGAGGCTGAGGCAGGAGGATCACCTGAGCCCAGGGAGGTCGAGGCTTCAGTGAGTTGAGATCACATCACTGCTCTCCAGCCTGGGTGACAGAGTGAGACCCTGTTCCTACAAAAACAAAACACGATGTCCAGTCGTGCGCCTGATGGCCTGGCTCCCTCCCTGTTTCCAGCTGCTCTCCACTCCTGACCTTGTACGCAGTGGTAGCCCCATGAAGGCAGGCAGGACTTCTGCCCTTGGTTTCCCCAGACTGAGGCATAGAGCATGCTTAGGCATTATCTGATGAATGCTGGGAACTTGGGCCTGGCACCGTCACTGTCACGGAGAGCTTCCACCAGCGCTTACGATGAGCCCGTGGCTGTGCTGGGGCTCACCCTTCCTTTCCCTGTGTAGTCTTCCCAGCCACCTGCTGAGACAGACACTGTTCTTAACCTTGTTTTACAAGTGCGGAAACTGAGGCCTAGAACAGTTAGGTGGCTTTCCAGACAGCTGCATCCTCAGAGCTGCCGTCAGGCAGGAGATGGCCGTGGCTGGGCACGGTGATGAGACCGTGCCCTCTCTGGGCCCTCATTGGGTGCTGGGCATGGTCTGTGCACTCCACGTTTGTCAGTTGCCTTATCCCCGCATGTCAGAGAGACAGCTGTCCCTGCGTCTCCCGGGCGTTTCCTAAGCACCAAGTTCTTCCCATTCATTATCCCCTCGAATCTCTGTAGCAGCCTGTTGGGACCATTTATTGCCTGTGTTTACAGAGACTGAGACATGGAGAGGTTGTGTCGCTGCACAAAGTCACAGAGCTAGTAAGCAGTAGAGCTGTTCTTTTGGGCTCTGCCTCTGAAGCTGCTGTCCTGGCTGGAAGCCCTGTGGCCATGAGGAACCCCGTGCCTGTGGTTTGCTGGGGCACCTGTGCCTCACGGGCCATGTGATGCCGATTGCTTTTGAGAGCATGGCAGAGGGCACTTCCGGGCAGGTGCTGATCAGGAGCTCATGGCTCTGTCCCAGGGCAGGGTGGGGCTTTTCCTGCTCCTGCAGTCCTGGGAGCAGGAGGTGTGGGGCACATCCGAGGCACTGGCTGCTGGGAGCTTTTCCTATGGAGCGCAAATACTTGTCAGTCTATGTATCGAAGTTTTGGATCACACCAGCCTTCATGGACTCCCTGGGTCTGGCCCAGAGCCCCGTCAGCTCTTGGGAAGCAGCCGCCCACCAGCAAATCAGAGCCGTCCTGGGTCCTGGCTCCTGCCATCTGCACCCATCAGACACACAGAGCCACCTCTCCAGCCTCCCAGGCTGCCACATAGTGAAACAAAATCCTCCCACAGGGTCTCCTGATAGTGAAATGGGACCGTGGCAAGACTCCCGTGTGGATGCCTGGGAGATATTACTTTTCTTCTTCTTCTTTTTTTTTTTTTTTTTGAGATGGAGTCTTGCTCTGTTGCCCAGGCTGGAGTGCAGTGGTGTGGCCTCAGCTCACTGCAACCTCTGCCTTCTGGGTTCAAGCGATTCTCCTGCCTCAGCCTCCTGAGTAGCTGT